CCCTCCATGAACATGATCTCCATCAGGCCCGCGGTGGCGATGTCCCACTCCTCCTCGGTGTTCGGGTGGTCCCCGCGGGAGTCGCAGAACCTCTGCAGGGCGGCCAGGTAGAGGGAGTACTGGGCCTGCGTCTTCGCCGACACCGAGGCCCTCCGAAGCAGGCTCATCTGGGCCTGCGGGGCCCGCGCCGCCGCCAGCCTGGCAGCGCGCTCCACCCGCACCCGCGCCGCGGCCGCCCGCAGGCCCCCAGTCTCCAGGGGGGCCAAGGCCGGGCGGGAGGCCGACCCCGCACTGGGCGGCGGCGGCTGGCGGCCCGCGGGGGTCCTCGATCTGTCGGACCTGCCGCGCGCCAGCATTGCGACCCTCGCCGGCGGCGGTCGCGAGTTCGCGCCGCAGGCCGGCAAGCGGGTCGCTCGGCGCCGGCCGGCCGCGCGAGGGTCCGTCCGCAGGGTTGAGCTCCGACGCGATCCAGCGCGACCGCAGGAGGCTGCCGGTCCCCAGCAGCAGGGCGCCCAGCCGGCGGGTCACCGAGAGCATGCCATCGCAAGACGACCGTCCCTTCGTGGCGGCCAGGGAGGCCGAGATCGAGTCCCCAATCACGAGCAGCCTCGAGCCCAAGTTGGCGACGGACCTCAGGAGGTGGCGCACCCCGTACAAAAGCGCCTCCGCTTCCAGGGCCGGCATAGACGTCGAGGCCCGTTTCCACCTCTGCCTCCCGCACACCCTCCAGGGAGCCCTCAAGAGGTCCAGGGGGACGTCCTCGAACGACTTCGTGTGCCGGCGGTCGAACTCGCTTTCGGGACGGTGGTGTCGAGACTGGGGCCGCACGAGCTCCATCAGGATCCGCCTGTCGGCCTCCCCCTCACCCCCGTGCAGCTGCGCAGCGGCCGCGGCGAAGGCGCGCTCGCGGGGAGGCCGCCCTTCCCGGGCCGCCTCCCGAGCCCCAGCACGCTCCGAGTGACGGCAGGCCTCCTTGACCAGGGCCACCGGCGGTCGCCCCCGAACGGCCCCCAGGCCCCACGGCGACGCGTCCACCACGACGACGTCTGGACAGGTACCCGCAGAGGTGTTGACCCAGATGAGCGGGGCGATACGGTCCCAGACGTCGAGCTCCTTTCTGGCCGAGGCCCAGAGGGCCCGAGGCCCCCGGGCTGGGCCTCTCCGCGCGGCCCCACAGAACCTGTAGCAGTATTTGAACACGCTGAGCGACTCTCGCCTACACAGGCCGATGAAGCACAGATGGCCCAAAAGGCGCTCCAAGTCCCCTCCAGAGACCGAGGCCCGTGCTAAAAGACCCCGAATAGCGAGACGAGCCTTCCAGACACGCTCGGGGGTCGGGCGGAAGGTGCGCCGAAGGCAATCGATCTCCCACCCCAGCACGATGGCCCGATCGCAAGAGACAGACTCTTTATGCAGCGGCAGCCCCCGAGACTCGAGGGCCCGGGACACTCCTGCCAAGCGTTCGCGAACAACCGCCTCGCTCGTCGAAATCACCACATAGTTGTCTACGTACTGTGCGCGAGGGGAGGAGGCGAGGGGAGGCGGAGGGGAGCCGTCCGCGAGGCGGGCTGCAGCAGGGGATCCTCCCTCCTCGGCAGCCCGCTCGTGGATCGCCTGGCACCACCATAGGGCCCAGGACCAGCCCATGGGCAAGGCTCGCATCCGAGGGGTGACCCAGGTCCCCGGGGACACACGGACCCCCTGGACTTGAGAGATGCCCGCCCACGAGGCCCGAATTCTTCGCAGCCCGAAGTACTGGCGGAGCCCCTCTGGGAGCTCCATGTGATAGAAAGCGTCTTTTATATCGACCTGGCCAATAAACACGGGCTGATCGAGGGAGTCGTCGCCATGCACCTGGGAGAGAGTGTCGCCAGAGACAAGGCTGACAGGGGCGGGCGGCTCGAAATGCTGATTAGACCGCCGACAGTCGACGACCAGCCGCTGCTTGCCGCCCCCCTTTTTTACAAAGAAGCAATCCACCACCTCGGTAGGTCGCTCAAGCGTCAGCTCGGCTACGCCAGCCTCGACCAACCGCTGAACGAATTCGCCGTACAAAGAGGGAGAGTGGAGGCGAGGGTCCCCATAGGGTCGCAGGGGCCCCGAGTCCTTCAACCTCATTCGTGCCACGTCGATGGGCAAAACTTGCGACTCAGCAAAGCGTGCAACAGTACTTTCCCCGCCGGATCCCCAAAGCCGAGCGAGCGGAGTCGGAACCGACCCAGCCGCCGGGAGGGACACGCGGGAGGCTTCGTAGCCCACAGGGCCTCCCCCAGCGTCATAGGGGAGGCCGAGGCGCAGCGCCTGGAGGGCTGCCGCCTGCGAAAGATCATCTGGGGGAGGCCCCAGGAAAGAGACAGAAGACTCAACGTGATCGAGCATACGCTGCTGCCCGAGGCTCAGATCCGCAGGTACAAGTACCCCTTCACGGCGGCCGTATATCGTGTTGAGACCTTCTAAGCACCGAAGAACGTCGGCGTGGCGACGCTGCCGACGGCCGACTCTCTGTCGGCAAACTCGCGAGAGCCCAGGCGCTGGTGGCTCCGACGAGTTGAGCAGCTCCGTGGGGAAAGGTAGCAGATCCCTCCCCACGTTCCTGTCAAAATTCCCCGGCGGCGCAACGGCGTGCCGAGCATCCCCAGTCATGTCAGGATCCCCCCCACCAGACCTGAGGGACGTCTGGGGGGGGCGGTCGGGCATCACCCCTGGTCCTTCCCCTGGCCCTGCCTCCGCTTGCCCAGCGACTCCCGCGCCTCGCGCGCCTTCAGGAGGCTCTTGGCCAGCGAGGCGCCCCGCTCCAGCTCCTGCTTGGCGCTCTCGAGCAGCGCGGGCGACACCATGAGCCTCGACTCGGCTCGGGCCGTCGCCCCGAAGGCGGCCTGCTCGTCGGCGGTGAGCCTCCCCGCGGAGGAGCCCGCTGTCCTCTCGCGCAACTTGTCGCTGTAGCAGTACTCGATCGTCTGGAGCCGGCGGAACATCATCTCCACCGACAGGATGTTGGACGCGTCCACCTGATCGTGCTGGAGCAACGCCTTCAGGTAGCTGATCACACTGGCGTACTCCTCCATGCCCCACTGGGAGTCCTGGAGGCCGCACAGCTTCTTGAAGTGCTCGAAGTGGGACTCGAGAGAGCGGCCCTCGCCCGCGAGGTGCTCGAGGCACCACATGGTCGTCCTCGGCGCGATGAAGTCGGGGAGGTGCTCCTGGCGGCAGCTCTCGACGAGGTTCTCGAGCGTCCGGAAGGGCCTGCCAGCGCGATCGAGGCGGACCGGCAGTAGGCGACAGTCGGGCGCCACCGCCCGGTCGGCGAAGTCCGACTCGTCACCGATGGCCACCCACTCGACGAAGAGAGACGACCCGTCTGCGAGCAAGACGACTCCGCGGGCGGGGGTGCCCGCCCCAGCGAAGCCCGCTGGAGGGATGATCACATCGCCGTAGTGGTACCCCCTCCACTCCTGGGCGACGCGCCAGTTCCCCACGGGGGCGGGGGCGGCGTCGCCAGCGCCTCCCGCCAGCACCAGGGGTCGGGCCCCCCCGACCACGGCCGCCGCGAGCGCCGCTCCCGCGGGCGCCGGCGCTCCGCCCGCCTCCCCGCCGCCCGCGGCCGGCGCAGCCCCCGCGGCCGCACCTCCTCGGCGCATCACCCCGCCCGGCAGGGGCGCGGGTGCCGGGGCGACGGGCGCCGCGGCGGGCGGCGGGCCCCCCGCTGGCACAACGACCCATCCTCCGCCCGGCGGCCCGGCGGCGGGGGCCCCCGCGGGAGGGGCGGGCCCGGCGGCGGCAGCCGGCGCCCCCGGCGCAGCCCAGGGCCACGCCTCGAAGACGGGCGCCGGCACGGCCACGCCCGGGTGGCGCCGAGCAAAGCAGCGCCGAGCCTCGGCCTGGGCATCGGGGAGCCAGGCTGCCACCTCCGCCGCAGTCGGGGGGCTCGCGAAGCGGTAGGCCCGCACGACGCCCGGCGGCCTGGGGGCGAGGGCGGGCGCCCACCGCACCGCGCTGATGTCGGGCGACGTCCCGTCCACTACCTCGCACTGCACCTGGTGGTCCGGCGAGACCAGGATCGCGTCACTCGGACAGGACACCACCCGACCCAAGTTCCAGCGCTGGTGCCACAGGGGAGCCCCCGGCACCGCATACAGGAGGTACGCCACCTGGTCCACTCCTTCCAGTGCGGGCACGGCGTCGGCGGCAGCAGCGGCCATCGCTCCACCTCCCGACGTCGCCGAGCGCGATGCCGATCACGAGCGACGCCACTGTCGTCCCCCAGGCCGCCGCCACCGTCGGGGCTGCGGGCGCCGTGGAGGCGCGCCCCCGCTCTTGCTGCGGGCACTGGGGAGCCGGCGCCCCTGGGCAGGCCGGGCAGGGCGGGACCGCGGGACAGGCGCAGTGGCAGTCCGGGCACTCCAGCGCCGGGCACGGAGGCGGCGGCGGCGCCCGACTCAACCAGGAGGCCACGCCATGCGACAGCTGGGTGAGGGCTCCGACCGCCCACGGGGGCACCATGCCCCGTGGGAAAAAGCTTGAGCGAAACGTCAACGGAAGATCGCAGACGGGCGGCCAGCGACGCTTCCCAAGGAGCAACCCTGTTCGGAGAACGACTTAGGAGAACAAGGAGGAGAAGGAAAGAGAGGAGGACATAGACGAGGAGGAGGAGAAAGAGGAGGAGGAGACAGGAGGAGGAGGAAGAGGAGAACGAGGAGGAGAACGAGAACGAGCAGCGACGGAGAGAGAGAGAGGGGGAAGGAGAGGGCGAGAGTGAAGAAGAGAAAGAGAGAGAGAGAGAGAGATATATATATATATAGAGAGAGAGAGAGAGGGAGAGGGAGAGATAGACAGAGAGGAGGAGGAGGAGGAGGAGGAGGAGGAGGAGGAGGAGGAGGAGGAGGAGGAGGAGGAGTGGGAGGAGTGGGAGGAGGAGGAGGAGGAGGAGCAAGAGGAGGAGACGGAGAAGAGGTAAACTCGCTGCCGTAAGCGCCGCTTCCCCCTCGCGAGGCGCCGGGATCCTGCAGCCACCCCTTCTGCTGCTCCTTCGTCAGGCCGTAAGCGAC